CTGACAAAATAGTATGATTCTCAGGTTAACCTAAATTTTTGAAACAGAGATTGACATACTTGCATAGGAAGATGATCAATGTATATACCTAAAGGACTAATGCTGATATTCAAACTATGCCAAAGTATCAATCTTGATATTATTTTATGTTGTGCCAATATATATTATACCAGTACAGAGACAGGCTTTGGTACAAAACTGCCAATTAAGACAGTGTATTAAATGTAAACTCAATAGAAATAAGGCTATTATATGCTTGAATGCATATATAATTAACATTTTTTCTTTAAATAAAAGTTCTAATCAGTTCACGTTTCTAGTGATGATAATCTCATGTTGCAAACAGCACAGCACCCTCTGCTGCATCTGTTCTAAGATGTATAAAATTCCCACAAAAAAGGATAGAATCAAAGTAAAAATGAACCTTAGAAATCAATCAGTTGATACTCTTTTATTTACTCCAGTACATATATTTAAACATTAATGCTTAAAAACAATTTTCACTTAAAAAGACCACTAGATATGTTAGTAACAATTGAAGTGGGTCCGGAAAATGCTTTAGTTTGAAAATATTTAAAATAATAAACAAAAACAATATCGGTTTCCAATACTTATTCAAATTAAAATAATGCTGTCAAAAAAAATTCTTTAAGGATAGCATGGCAAAAATTAGGTTGTCATGTTAACCAAATTTCACTTTATTTAAATCTTCCTTGGCTTTTTGCTTCAGATAATTTTGATTTGATTGTGTAAAGTGCTTATATAACTTATACAGCTTGAAAATAGAATGATAATCAGAAATAAAAGTATGTTAATCACATTATGGATCTTAATTTGAATAGTTCAAAACTTCTACTTAAAGAAAGAAACTTCCTAGGAAAATAATTACCTCCAAAAGTATATTTTACTAAGGACAAAAGCAAAGAACTGCTTCAGACAGCCCTTTTGTGAACCACTGGAAGTCCCAACACAAAGCACTAGAAATGAAAGTGACACCTGATTAAAGCAACCACCTGTCCCTAACAAGCTAGATTTAGTCAAATCCACTTAATGTTGGATTTCCAAAATATGGGAACACTATGCACCTGTGAACAGAGAGGAATGTAAAATCTGTTTTGCCGTGGCCACTGGGAATCTACGCCCAACAGTTAAAGGCAAATGATTCCATTAGGGAAACTAAGTTGTTTTGTTTTTTTTCTTTTAAGTAACTGGAAGTAGAGCATTTTTGTCTAATGTTCAGGATCAAAACAAACAAACAACTAGCAGACTCATTTTAATTTAAAGGTTTACTTCCTTGAAGACTCTTCACAGTTTAAAAGCTTACTTCTTTGGTATTCTCATTTCTTGTAACCCAGTTGCACTATATATGCCAAGAACAAAGTACCACTCCCATTAGCCTGTGCAGGAAAGATGTGTTGTTTTTTTTTAACTCTTCTCATACACATGATGCTACATTCACCCTTTTAAACACACACACACACACACTCTCTCTCTCTCTCTCTTACACTTTAAAAATTTGAACAGCAAAATCATACTCCATCTACTAATTTCTTCATTTGGAAGTTTAGAGAAAAGCACTCACAACATCAGCTTTCTCAAGAATAAACAATGTTACCAAAAAGTAACATATCATCATTTACATAATACATTGACTCTATCTTGACTAATGATTTATTCATTTTTTTAACCGCTAATTTTTTAATGGTAAAAAGTTAACCACATTGAATTTGTTTAGGGTACACAATATTTGTTTAGAGTTAAAGGGTGTTAAATTTATAAACCATAAACCTTTTGAGTACCTGAATACAGGATTATCTGAATACTAGAGAAATACTGTTATTTTTTAAATTAGGCATAACTACCACATATAATGAAAACATTGTGGAATGATGCACTTTAGGAATGCATTTTAGTGTACCATCTTATGCATACAAATGTACTACATAAATATGCCTACACCATTTAATGAAATTCATAGGCAAAACAATCTCAAAAGCTTGAGATAGGCATTATGACATACAATGAATCACAGATATTTAGCTATTCAAAACAAGTTTTAAGTAACTCCTACTTAATACTTTTTGTTTTAAAGCACGGTCACTTTCACAGATTTTAATTAGTCTAAAAACTGAGAACACAGGAGAATGCCAATACATAATATAGTTCTTCCTAGGAAAAATATCACAGAAAGAAGAAACTAAATGCTAAGTATTCACCCTCGTGTTAAATTTTAAAATTTATCATTACGTCAGTATTTCCAGTGACTATTTACTCAATCCATATGAATAACACTGACATACTTGAGCCCAAAGCACCTCTTTTATACAGCAACTTTTATACCACCTATGTGCTTTTAAAAATGGGTAAGAGAATTCAATTTAAGTTCTGCTCTCAGATCAACTTGTGACTGAAAAATCTAAATTATCTAAATTATGGATAACTGTAATGAGTGAAATGCCTCAAAAAAGTTCTTGGACACTGCAAATAAAAATATTAAACCATAACATTAAAGCATATAATCTACTCAGCTGAAAACCTATTATGTAAATGGCATAAGGTCTGAAACTGTCTCAAGACAGCAAAACTCCTATTAACTTCAGAGACAGTTTATAGGACCCAGGAGCTTCACCATCCAAAAGTGTTCAGGCATTTGACACTCATCTGAACAGAAAAAAAAAATACAAGTTAGTATTAGAGATTTGCATGGAACCCAGGTTGGGGAATAAATATAAAGAAATTTGAGTGCTCTGAGAAAGACTTCTTTCATCCTCAGTTAAAACAGCAATCACAAGGCAATGAATTGAAAGAGGAAAAGTTTTTTGAAAACCCCAACTCTTATTTTACAAAATACTAGCCTTAATGGTGTTACAATTACCCAACCTGCTCATTGACAATCTCAAGAATAATTAATACTGTCACATTATTCACAGGCTTCTCTGTTAGGTAAATCAATATGTGTTTGCTGTGAGAAAGAAGACTGTTTAAATACGTATTTTAAAATCCCAAATTGGAAACTTCAATATGTACAAATAAAATAGCACACTCTATCTGTTTTAGCACACGTTCATTATCAAACTCTTTACCAATAAGCTACTAATTAAATGTGAGGCTGAAAAATGAACAAATTTACAGGATCTGTAAAATTGGGTTACCTCTAGCCAAGAGCCCTACTACTTGAGGACTGCTAAGTATTCAAATCTACAGAGAAAAATAGATTTTTAAAAGACAGACTTAAAAAGAAAAAAGTTCTCTCTCGTCAGCACGTTTAAGTCACTGTCCAAAGAAAACCAGAAAGTAAACAAAAAAGAATATGTTAAGTACACACATGCCTAGATCTGAACAACCACAAAGAAAGTGAAATATACACACGTTTCAAGTTGAGAAGCTTCATACATTCTTTATGAACAACTTGACTTCAATTTCAACTCTCAAAGGAAAAGGAACAGAGAAGATGAAGAAAAAAAAAAACTCTTTAAAGTACTACAACTGTCACAAATAACATTGTAAACTGAGTTCTCACAAAGCTTCCCTATGCCCTTTCCCTATTTATCACACACAAAGTCTCCTAACCACAATGAAAACTGTTAACACTCCACTGTGGGGAAGGAGGTTCATCAAAGTGAAATGGAACCTCACTACTACCCCTCCCATCTCCACATGAAGGATAAAGCACTGTCAATAACTACTAACCCAAGTATCACAGATGCCCTGCATCTGGTTTAAATCACAAGCACACACACGCGCGCGCGCACACACAAACACACACACACACACCCCAAAAAAGAAAGAGAGAGGAGAGAGACTTGTTTTAAAAATCTCTTTTCCTTTGCAGCAAAGAGTTCAGCGAAGAGGCCCCTGGTTTCAATGTGTGTGCAAGGGGTGTGGGGGGAAAAGAAAGGGGGGGGGGGAGGGAAGAGTGCTGAATGGATATTAAGACTGTTTGCAGCACAAAGAAAACACAGTTTTAAAAGAAAAAAGAAACCGTGCAGCTGATGATGGCAAAAGCAGAGCAGCCCATTTAGCACAAGGCAAAGAGGGGCAAAAATGAAAGGAATAGGCGGTGGGAAAAGTTCACCGTTGTACGAGGATAAAAATAACAAAACCCGTAACAAGGCCCCACAAGTGCACAACAACAACAAGACACCACCTCTTGGGTCCCCCCGGCACGCTGCTGTCTATTTCGGTTTGGGGAGAAGCAGCAAACCAGCAGCTTTGGAAAAGAAGAAAATTAAAGGAAGAAAGAAAGCAAGCCTCATCTCTTCACCTGACCCTCCTCCTCTGAGCCAGACCTAGGGGAGAGCTCCACCATCCGCGTCGGGCAACTGTGGCTCCCTCTCCCGCTCGGCTCGCAGCCCCCAGCGCTCCCGCTCCATCCCTGAAGCGCGGCCGCCGAGGGCCGGGGCGGCGCGGCGCCCACACCCCCGAGCCAGCCGCGGCGCGCTCGGTCCATTGTAAACAAGCCGGGGCACGGAGCCCCTCGGCCGCGACGCCGCAGCGGCAGCCCCCGGTGTCAGGAGTGAGACCCCCGCACAGCCACACTCGGCTCGCGCACACGGACACACACACGCACGGACACACGCGTTCACACGCAGCCACACGCTCCCACACACATGTAGAGACCGAAGAATATTCACCTTGGCTGTGGATTATTGTGGTGTTGTTGGTGGGTGATGGAGATGGTGGTGGTGGGGAGGAGGAGGAGGAAGAGGAGGAGGAGGAGGAGAGGAGTAGTTGTTGTTGATGGGTAACAGTCGCCAGGACTACGGTGACTATGGCGCTTGATTCACAAGGCAACGGTTGCTATAACTCACAAAAGAGAGAGAGAGGGAGAGAGAGAGAGGGAGCGAGAGGGAGAGGGAGACACTCGCACGGGGAGGGGTGGGGAGGGAAGAGGGGAGGAGGCGGGCCCGGCGAGCCGCCGGAAGGGGCGGGCTCGGCACCGTGACGGACAGCCCCGAACCCGGGCCGGGGCGGAGGGGGGCGGGGGCGCGGGGAGTGCGAGGCGGGGTTCCGAGGAAGGGCTCCGAGGAGCTGCGCTTAGGTTTGGCAGGGGCTGGGGTCACCCAAGAGTCCTCTCGGAGGTACGCTTGCTACCCGCGCTAACGAGGCAGCAGGGGGAGTGCAGGGGCGTGGTGCGAGGGGTACTGTCTGCGAGGCGACAGCTGCCAGTCCCGGCAGCCAGCTTTGTGCAAAGAAGCCCCAGAGCCGCGAGAGGGTAACGAGTAACCCGGGAGAGGGGGTGTTGAGGGCGATTCCAGACACTCTGTGGGGAGACCAGCTACGGCGGGGAAAGAACCACTTTCAAGAGCGGTCTCCTCCCCCGCTCCTGGCCTGAAACATCATTTCCGGGGCGGGGCGGGCGGAGGGTCCCGGATGTGCCGCTGCTCGCTCGCTTTTTTTTCTTTCCTTTTTTTTTTTTTTCTTCTTCGTTTCTGAGGCGCCGGAGGTGTTCGCAGTTGCGTCAGCCTCCTGGCTTCTAGCATGCCTGGGCGCTTCAGAGCTCCGGGGCTCGCGCCGGACTGGAGGGTCCGAGCCGCCTGCGCCCTCCTGCTCGCGGCGCTCCGGCCGGCTCCCGCCTCCTGCGGCCGGGACTCGGAGGAGCGCGGGCGGCGGGTGTGAGCGAGCTGCCTCCGCCGCCATCTTAGAGCAAGCGAGCCCGGGGGCGTGTGGGGGCCGCGCGCCGCGTCCCGCTGTCCAGCCGCGGCGTGGCGCGCGGACGGCGGGGGCCGAGCTCGTCCGGCCCCGGCTGCGGAGCGAGAGGCGAGATGCTTCCTCCCTGCCTGCGGGGCGGGCGGCTGTCCTCGCCGGAGGGCGAGAGAATGCATGGCTGTCCCCCTCGGCGGAAGGCGCTGAGGGGTGGGGTAACTCACACCTGCCTGAGATAGCGCCCCGTTCGTTTCTGCCCCCACCCCGAAGTAAGCTGCTCTCTCTTCCCCTCTTGAAAGTTGACCGAACCGGGGGATCTGAGCTCAGCCCGCTGTCCTATTCCCTGCCTCGCCCTGTTGACAACCTGCGGTATCTGAGGGTCTTGTGCTTCCGGCTGTGTAGACGAATGGCTTCCTCAGTGATGGATGCTGTTCGCACACAGCCGGCTCTCTGAAGCCCGGCCGCTCGTAGCTCCGGGTTCCAGCATACTGGTCCAGGTCTCTGCACGCAGGAGTCCTGTAGGCACATCCCCTGGGCCCTGCCAGTGCCCCGAACCTCCAACACAGGCAGCTAAGCTGCTTATCCAAGACAATAACATTAGAAGTAGAGCCTAAGGAAGTCAGTTCTCGGGAGGCTTAATTTTTGCACCTGCAAAATAAGGGATTTGGGCCGACATAGATTCCCAGTGCTAAAATAATAATAGCGACCATTAGTGAGCGCTTACGCTGCCCCGGACGTTGTGCTTAGTGTTTTACATACATTATCTCATTTAATCCTCACAGCGCCCACTGTTAGGTACGAACTATTCTCATTTTAGGGAAAACAGGCACAGAGTCTTTAAATAGTCAGTGGTTTTGTTTCACTGCTCCGTGACATGGAGTATTAGATAAGGGTATTTTAGGAAGCAACTACTGAAACAATAGATTGAGGAAAGTGATGTTGCCGTAGGTAGTCTCCTAACGACATTACAACTAGGGTGTTGTAATGGAAGAGTGAACGCAGCGAGCCCAGTGCTAAAGCTAAAAGGTTTCAGGACTCACTGGTACTAGACCCTTTTAGTCCGAGGCAGATGACAATGAGGTGACCAATAGTTGTTAAACTCTCCAGATTTAGAGTAATAGTTCCGACATACGCGTGGAAAGTAAGGTATGCGTCCCTGCTGAGAACGTAATCATTCTGAAAATTCATTTCGCCACATTTACAGATGTAAAGTCCTCTGTCCTTGTGACGGTGTGCAGGGCGGTTTGCGCACACCCCACAGCACTGAAGAGCTTTGCTTTTTCCGTTGCATTGCTTGTTACGGTTTGCCTGTCCCTTCCCTCGCTGTCGGCCCTTGCTTCTTACCGCTGTCCGTGAGCACAGGTAATTGACTGCTTTCAATCTGCGGGCAAGAAAGCCGCTTAATGAAGCATGTGCACAACTGTGTCCCAAGAGTATAAATAGGTACTTTGAGGAACTCTTAGAAAAAGTGTGTGACCTTTATGTGACGACATTGTAACACCAGCTTTAAGCTGCTTCGAGACTCTTTGGTTTTGGGGGGGTTGGGGGTTTTGGGTTTTTTTTTTTTTTTTAACCTATTTCTTGATTTGGCCTTTTCCTGAGTTAGGAATAGATAAATTTCTTTAAGTGAGTTCTTAAAAAGTTAGGATTTAGACTGTTTTTTCCCTGTTTTAAGATAGTTGATGGTAGGACTTCTAACACCATAGTGAGGTCACTACAATATGAAATTTTCAATGTTACCACCACACTGAATCAGATAACCAAGCTACCAATTCAAGCTCTAGATTCAGAAACATGCTGAATTATATATGTATGTATTGTTTTGTGCTATAACTAGTTATGAAAGGACCCAGAAATCCCCTTAATTCTAGTCACTTCTGATAGGATCTCCTTTTTAGTCATTTTTAAGCATAATTGCAATTTCACATATATTGTACATATATTTCAGAAATAAATTACATAAGTCACAGAAAAGACCCAGCAGTGTCTAGCATTTACCACCTGTTACAGACAATACACACTAGCCTCAATAAGAAAAGACACCTAACCAAAAAATATTTTATATTCCTTGACAAATGCAGTAAACTGCCAATGCAATAATTATTTGCTGAGTACCAAAAATGGGCCATAGTTCTTGTCTGTAAAATGCCCAAAGTCAGTATCTGTGAATTTGAAATGCTGTGTCCTTTGAACTTGGATTGTTTCTGCTCTCAGATTGGACTGATTGGCAGAGACATCGTTTAACACGTTTGTATCTGCACCACTTGAAAACTATGAAGCCCGGATTATGTATGGATGAATACTTTATAAATCACTCTTAAGGGTAAATTTCCTTTTCAGTATTGTCATTAGGTTTTTTCCTCTTATTGATATCTGCTGCATATTCAAGAACTAATAAATTAACATTAATGCTCATAAAAGGAAAAGCTGCTTATGAAAAGATAAAATACTGATAAGGATAGGTTTACTTCTGAAAAACTGTATGAGAGTTTTGAAAATTAACGTATTGGTCTGTCACAGCTTACCACTGAATTTGTGGTGAATCCTTGTATGAAGCAGAAACTGCTCCTGTTTCAGACTTTTCATTTGATTATAATATCTGATTTTCTTCAGTTAAGGGACACCTAGAGTTTTAATTCTCATATGTGAAATGAATAGTGTCATTTCAACCAGTATTTATTGAGTACTTATGATATGCAGAGCACTGGGGAATTAGACAACTAGATTACTAATTGCCTTTCCTAGATCTGAAGTTCTGAGGATGTATGAATTATCAATAATAATAGAGGGATGCCTGGGTGGCTCAGTTGGTTAAGCATCTGCCTTCAGCTCAGGTCATGATCCTGGGGTCCTGGGATTGAGTCCCACATCTGGCTCCCTGCTCAGCGGAGAGTCTGCTTCTCCCTCTTCTTCTGCCCCTCCCCCTCATGTGCTCGCTCTCTAGCTCTCAAATAAATAAAATCTTTTTAAAAAAATAGAGACTGGTAAAGGCCAAGGTAATTCAAAACTATACATAATTTGCCACTGTTCTCTGGAGAAACCCTAAATCTACCCATCCTCACCCAAAATATATTTTGGTTTTAAAAACATAGCAATAGGGAGCCTGGGTGGCTCAGTTGGTTAAGCGACTGCCTTCGGCTCAGGTCATGATCCTGGAGTCCCTGGATCGAGTCCCGCATCGGGCTCCCTGCTCGGCAGGGGGCCTGCTTCTGCCTCTGACCCTCCCCCCTCTCATGTGCTCTCTCTCTCTCAAATAAATAAATTTAAAAAAATAAATAAAAACAAAAACACTGCAATATTTTTTCTTCTGGTGGATTGGTCTTTCTAATTGTGTTTTAAGTAATACAAACCAGGTGTTTACTCAGCAGTACTGAGGTATATCTTATATCCCTACATCCATATATGTAACCAGGAATTGAATTTTTACCCCAGCACAGAAAGATAATAATAGAATCCTATGTTGACTAAATTTTGCCAGAATACACACATGCAGCTTTTCCCCTTCAATTAATGCAGAATGTCAAATACAATATTTGTAACATTAAAATCAAATAAATGGAGGGGTGCCTGGGTGGCTCAGTCAGTTAAGTATCCAGCTCTTGATTTTCGCTCAGGTCATGATCTCAGGGTTATGAGATCGAGCCCAGCATGAAGATCGATGCTCAGCACGGAGTCTGCTTGAGATTCTCTCCCTCTGCACCTCTTCCCATTTGCATGCTCAATAAATAAATAAGTAAGTAAGTAAAATAAATAAATAAATAAATTTTTTTAAGTAAATAAAATAATTGGAAACAGCCTAAGTATCTATCAGTAGGAGGATGGAAAAACAAATTGTGATACATTCATACAATGGATTACTATTGAGCAATGAAAAGGAACTGGCTAATGATACATAAAGAAACATGGGTGGATGAATCTCAAAAACATTATGTTCAGCAAAAGAAGCCAGGCACAAAGAGTACATACTGTATGAATCCATTTACAAAAAGGCCAAGAACAGGGAAAACTAATCTGTATTTAGTATTTCTAGATGGGATTTACTGGGACAGCACGTAGGAGAATTATCTAAAGTGACATAGAGTATTCTGCACTGCCCACCTTGGTAGTGACTAGCCTATATGGCTATTAAAATCTAATTGTAGGGGCGCCTGGGTGGCTCAGTCATTAAGCGTCTGCCTTCGCCTCAGGTCATGATCCCAGGGTCCTGGGATCGAGCCCCGCATCGGGCTCCCTGCTCTGCGGGAAGCCTGCTTCTCTCTCTCCCACTCCCCCTGCTTGTGTTCCCTCTCTCACTGTGTCTCTCTCTGTCAAATAAATAAATAAAATCTTAAAAAAAAAATAAAATCTAATTGTAAATTAAAATTAAGTAAAATTTAAAAGTTCTGCAATCACACTGGTGACATTTTTAATTTATTTTGGGGGGATAGTGGGCAGA